TGATGTGACATCGCTTTTTACGTCGGTCCCTATTACAGAGGCGGTGGAGGCTGTAAGAGAAAGCCTACAGAAAGACGCCACACTAGGGGAGAGAACGAAACTAACAGCTGACCACATCTGTGAAATACTGGAAATGTGTCTTAACACCACGTATTTCCAATTTAGAGGCACCTTCTTTAGACAGATTCATGGCTGTGCGATGGGCTCCCCAGTCTCTCCTATAGTGGCCAATCTGTATATGGAGAAACTGGAGGAACAAGCCTTGGGCTCGTACCAAGGGACAGCGCCAAGCCATTGGTTTCGATATGTAGACGATACATGGGTTAAGTTAAAGAAACAGGAAGGATCTCTAACTTTAGCATAATAAAGAAGTAAGTACACTACAAAAAATATAAAATATGAGGTTATAAAAGCTTGAATCTAGTGGTTTTTATCATAATCTGAGCTCATTCTGACTGTGCTCAAACAAGATTCTCCAATGGGACAAAGCCATTTAGTCTTATTTCAAGAACTGTTGCTTTATTTTCTAGTTCCAATTGAGACATTTCTTGCATCTTTTAATAAACAAGATCATTTTGTTTTGTCCCATTGGCAAATCTTGTTTTAAAACAGTGCTGAAATTAAGATACATTTAGCAAAATGTCAGTCATTTTTCAGTGGGATGGACATTATTCAAACGATTATTGCACAGATGAGTAAAGCAAAGTCCAGTCCAGTGGGAAATTGAAAAGTGTGATTGTGCGTTAGCCTGTCATCTTTGGTTGGAGTGTTAGGTCCAGCTGCATCAGGGCTGGCAGGGGTCTGATAGCTTCTGTGGCCCCCTGGGGAGAGCCATCAGGTTGTGTGGGTGTGTGTGTGTGTGTGTGTGTGTGTGTGTGTTAGTGTGGATCTCTGAACTTATATATATGCGTTCACTCAAAGATTGCAATAATTTTCAAAGACGGATATTATTGGGAAGTTATGGGAATTAACGGGAGAAAGTGGGAATAAACTGGACATTTTCAATACTGGAAGTTGGCTCTTTGTAGGGGACTTAAATAAAGTTGAGGAAAGTATATTTTATCATAATAAACAGATGTCATATAAATATGCTGCTAATTAAAGGAAGGTAATAACATCACAAACCTTATATTGTCTGGTATAAAAGAAACAATTCCTTTAATTCTACTTAGAAGACAAGATGAATCTTCCTAAACCAAATATACTGCTACTGAGACCACGCCCGCCTACTCCTTGAAAAGTGGTTGTTCAACAAAACAATTAAAACTTTTGTTCCAGGTACAAATAAATCTGCTAAAGTATCTGTTGAAGACATTCTTATGACTCCTATATTTATGCTTAGATATGACACAATTTGATTACATTGCAATTAATTCACAGTTATTTCCCATAATATTCCAAAATTCCCCAGCGATAAATAAACCAGAAATTGTTCAACGCTTTGCAACTCAAAACCAAATCATACTTCATAAGACATAATAATTAACCTCCTGTCCCTGGTGGATTTGAGCCAAAGAAGGAGCCACACAATACTGACTGATGATTGGATGAGAGACAACAGACATTCAGCTAACATGAAACGAGGAAAAAATACAGAAAGTATTGATTTTTTACCAAAACGCACAGAGTTGATATGATGCTAAACTACATCCAGAGAGGGCGACTTTGTATTGATTTGACGTGAGCTTTAGGAGGTGTGTGTGTGCTGCCCCTGTTATCCAGCAATGGATAAAGCAGAAGAAAATGGATGGATGACAGGTTAGCAATACAAAGCTAGCCCACGTTAGCTTTAGTTGTTTTCCAGTCTGTGTGCGGGTTGATGAAAAATGTACATATTTCCGTTGTATTCCTGCATCTCAAATCAGACCGGCCACTATGAAATATTAGCCATTTAATTATAATGCCAACTTATACAGGCTGTAATTAGCACAATAGCTAAATTACATCTTTTTCTGTTTTTCTTACAGTCAAAGGTGTCTGTTTTCACGTCTTATGACTTAGTATTAATGGGGCTTTTTCAATTACGCTTTTTAACTAAAACTAGCAAAATTAGGTCTAAAAAAAGTATAAAAGTAACAAAAACACACACTAGCACACACTGAAACGACATAAACACACTCTAAAAGGATTCTTAAATTTGGAAATGTCAACATCAACAATCAACCTAGGGCTAACGACCACGCCCCAAACGCAATGAACCAATCACAGTGCACATAGCCAGGACAACAGAGGACACCAAATGAAATACAGAGACCTAAATACATACACAATTTAAGTTATTATGAAGAAAATAGCCATGTTAAAACCTCCAGGGTATCATGATCACAAAACTAATACCCAATCCACAACATTCTCCTGAATCGGCATAAAACCAACCAGTCTCAGAGCATCACTAGTTAATATTTTTTGTATTTATTTGTTTATCTGACAGGGACATTGCACAATAAATGTATTGTTGAGACCGGGCATAGCTACAAGCTCATTTCCATCCCTAGTCCTTGGGCAGAGGCAAAGTCACAGCAGTTTAACAGTGTGCAAAAAAATAATTACTAGAATGGCCAGTTAGCGTTTAAAACACCGGTAAAATACTACACCTCTAACCAGAAAGAGACACTATATTTACAAAACGCAATTAATTACAACTGATTAACAACGATTAACTTTGAGCCAGTTCTTTTAGAGTTTCAAAACGTATTTGTGAACCACTGCACCAGAAACTTCTCCCTCCTTTTCTGTGCATCCAGACATCGAGATAGAGCTTGACATTTGAGCCTTAACGCCCCATTCGTCTTCATCAGTCACTTGTCACACAGCAGGGGTCGTTTCTATTGCGCCGTTAGCAAAACTCAGCCCCTTGTTCATGTAGCACCAAAGCCCTCTCGAAGGCCAAGCAGCCCAGAGAGCCCCAAATATGCAATCACAAATCCCAAATGCCAAGCCAAGACTTCTTAATAGCAAACCTCGCTTCCCCTAAATCCTATTAGACAAACTATTCAGCGCAGTATCCACTTCAAAGTAATTTCGCCTTCAAATGACAACCCACTTGGACCGGCTCGTTTGTATGTGCTCGGAGAAATACATGCTAAATCTGTGCGAGAAGCTTCACGTCTTGGAGCTACTCGGATCAAAATTCCGCCTTATCCCATATTAGCGGCTGCTTCCTGGCTCTGCAAAAAAAATTCGGGTTGAGCTCCGTTCAAAGGAGAAAGTGGGAAATCAGAGAGAAATGTGTTCAGTCCTGGTTTAAGGGGGAAGAGCAAGCAAAAGAAATGGACTTTTCACAATTTTTTTTTATTTGTTTTGTTTTGTTTTGATCCATTCTCTTTGTTTTCTACAAATGCTTCATTGAATCAATTCTAACTTTCATCATTACAGCTTGGTTTGGCTCACTCAGTCTCATACATTGGAATTCACTCAATAAGATCATTAAAATCAGCAGCAAAATCATTGGACAGCAGCAAGACTCACTCACAGACATTTACAATTACAAAGTTTTAAGGAAAGGCTCCCAGATCTCCACAGACAGCTCCCACACTCTGCACTCTCACTACAGTCTGCTCCCATCAGGGCGTAGGTTCAGGTCCCTCCCATTCAAAACAAAAAGGGCCACATCCAGCTTCCTCCCCACCTCAATTCGCCTTTTAAACAGCTAATTTGGAGACCTGTTTTATGTATTTTATATTGCATTTCTGCTCTTTTACTGTATTTATTCTTAGATTGCGTGTCTCTGTGTTTTTGTGTACCCCCACCGGTGCTCTGTCTGTAAATGAAGTTCCTCACGGATTAATAAAGTTATTGAATTGAATTGAATTGAAATTGAATTGAATTTTGTGTGTCTGTGTGTGTGTGTGTGTTTGCGTATTGGTGTGTGTGTGTGTTTGTGTATTGGTGCGCGTGTGTGTGCATACGTGTGTGTGTGGTGAACATGTGCAACAGTATGCTTTTTAGAAAACGTTTGATTGATAGATATTATTGATATGTTTGATAAATGATGGATAATGAAGTCATAAAATTGAATAAATAATGGTAAGTTTGAACCTTCAGGTAGATAATGAGAGTAACAGAGTAACAGAGTAACAGAATTCCAGTTATGTAAATAAATAGTACGGTAATAGTTGGTAGAGCATTGGCCTCTAAGCCTGAAGGTCGTGGGTTCAATCCCAACACAAGACCCTCTCCACCGACTCCCACTGATGTCTGCTGACGTTGTGTCCTTGGGCAAGACACTTAACCCCACTTTGCCCGAAGCCCCCGCTGAAAAATCATGGCAGCCACAGCAGCCATTCTCCTGTGGACTCACCACCTGCAGGGGGATCAGTGAGGGTCTATGTGTTCTGGGTGCTGCTCTGACTGCTTGTTTTATTTTTGTATTTGTCTGGTGCACACTCGGGACTTTTGCACATGTATTCCAATGTGGTTTTACTGCAAATGGAAAATAAACTGAATCTGAATCTGCATGTCCAAATTGACCTGTGCTGACATGCTTGCAATACCACACCGAGTCTGTGGGGGTGTACCCGGAAAGAGAATTATCCAATTCTTTTGTATGGCATCATCTTTCCTCTCAAAAACCTCTTTACACGATGGTCCAAAAGTCGCTCTTGGCCCAACGCTGCATTCCAGATGCTGTCAATGCTGAGGGGAGTGTATTTTTTTTGGACAAGTCTAGTTTAGCCGTTGTGGAATTATGAATGCACTTGTTAAATGAATGGGGCTTTTGCCGGCTGACACATGCGCAAATGCGTTTTGGCCCCGCGGCCACTTTGAAACTGCCCACAGACGGCAAAAGTGGTGGCACATTCATTTGAACGGCGGAGCTAGGCGTGACTCGGTTCATATTTACAGTCTATGGAGCAGACAGAAGCCTCTATATAACGTCCTCTTATTCTTTTGTCCTGGCTCTCGACGCAGCAATCTCAGCCCTTGATTTCTGACTGTTAGCGATAGTGTTAGCGATGGTGTTAGCGATGGTGGTGGTGGTGCAGAGGCTGTGAGGATGAATGAGAATGATCCCCATTGTGAGGAGGTAATGGAGTTGTCTGTCTTGCCGGTGCCTGCTCCTTACTCGTCTTCTGCCACGGTGCTATTTCAGAGCACTCCACTCCAGTCCACTCACCGCTCCATCCAGAGGCCACGTAGGAGCCGGCTTCATAATCGAGGCAAAAAGGCGAAAGCACAAGCGATACAACCCCAGGACTTATTTTGTATCCCCCCTTTCGCTTTGATTAATCTGAAATGACTGCGGTTATTCATGAGTTTAATGCCTTCCTGTGATTTTCCGGATTTTCTTTTCTCATTCTGTTTCTCATAGTTGAGTTTTATCTATGATGGAAGTTACAGGCCTTCCTCATCTTTTTAAGTGGGAGAACTTGCATAACCGGGGGCTGAATACTGAATACTTTTTTTCTGTTTACCTGTTTCGATTGTGACGCATGGTTCAATAATTGTTCATATAAAAGCTGGATATTTATGGACATTTATGGACATTGGTCTCTGCCCCTTTATGGACCAATGTCTTTTCTATCATTGCATCTCCCGTGTTTGAACTGTTTGATTCTTTGATATGCGTTGGCGATTCAATGGTTTTGTAAAGTCCTCCGAGATAACTACTGTTGTGATTTAGGGCTGTACAAGAATACATTTTCTTACAATTTTCTTGCTCAATCGACAATGCTCTGTATTTGTTTTTAAGCATCCAGTTGCTTTACCAGTTTGCGCAGTCTGGCTGTTGGCACTTTTTTGTTCTGCTCTCCCTCTGCTCTCCCTCTCTTCTCCTCTCCTCTCTCTCTCCTCTCTCCTCTCCTCTCCCTCTCCTCTCCCTCTCCCCTACCTCTTCTCTCTCCTTCTCTCCCTGTCCTCCCCCTCTCCTCTCCCTCCCCTCTCCCTCTCCCTGCTCTCTCCCTCTCCTCCCCCTCCCCCTCGCCCTCTCCTTCCCCTCTCTCTCTCTCCTCTCTCCTTCTCCCTCCTCTCTCCCTCTCCCTATTCTCTCCCTCTCCTCTCCCCTTCTCCTCTCCCTCTCCTCCCCCTCTCCTCTCCCTCCCCTCTCCCTCTCCCTGCTCTCTCCCTCTCCTCCCTCTCCTCTCATTCTCCTCTCCCTCTCCTCTCTCCTTCTCCCTCCTCTCTCCCTCTCCTCCTCTCCCCTTCTCCTCTCCCTCTCCTCTCCCTCTCCTCTTCCTCTCCTCTCTCTCCTCTCTCGTCTCCCTTTCCTCTCCCTCTCCTCTCTCCTTTACCTCTCCATTTCCTCTCTCTCCTCCCCCTCTCCTCTCCCTCTCCTCTCTCCTTTACCTCTCCATTTCCTCTCTCTCCTCCCCCTCTCTTCTCCCTCCCCTCTCTCCTCTACCTCTCCCTCTCCCCTCCTTCCCCTCTCCTTCTCCTCTCCCTCTCCTCTCCCTCTCCTCTCCCTCTGTCAGCGGGGGGAGGGCCGTGGGTGTCATCTGTGTGGAATCTTCACAGAGCATAACGAGATCAAACCGTGAGCGCTGCCATACTATTCTTTGGCGTCTTTCTTTTTAACGCCGTCTCAACAACTACACAACCGCTAATCTTTGGCTTTGGAGACTTCGGTTCGTCTCACCTGCAACACGAACCAGAACCCGCCATGACACTCGGCCACCTCCACAGACCGTTAGCCGTTAGCTGCTAGCTAGCCGCACCTCCACCTCCATCTCTGTCTGAGTCTAACACTAACACATGCACAAACACACTGATTCTTTTTTTATATTTTGCCGTAGCCCACATCGTTGCCTGGCAGGGGTGATTTTATATGCATGGTGGCCTACTTTGCCTTCTCTCCCAGGGCTCCTCTCTCTGCACACACACACACATGCACACACACACATGCACACACACACATCTGCCGTACTGTGAAGTATAGCTCACTCCAAAGCTATTCATCATGGAGCACTGCAGTGGCCGAAGGTTGATTATAGCAAACGTTGTAGTGTTCCAGGACTCCTTTAAACACGTAATACTCCATTAAAAACACTTCACATTCTGGCCTCTAGGGGCCGCACGTCAGCGTCTGTTTGTGCCAATGTCAAACCTGGAACAATAAGTAGTTCATGCTGATTTTGAACTATGCTTTTGACAGTGAGTTTTTAACATTGGGAGAATACAAAATGTAGATCATTCTAAAAATAGCATAAAAGTATAGTATTAAAATGCAATAATTCATCTACGATTTTAGCCAATTCTCAAAGCTGATATTTCTCTCACTCGCCTCTCAATATATAAGAGCATTTTTTTATCCAGTGGGAGACATATCAGAGTTATAATCAAACACTTTACAAAACAAGACGGCGACTCAGGCAACATACAAAAGTTCCAGCTGCAGATGTATAATTTAAATCTCAAGGCTGAAGAATAAAAGTATAATAATCATAATCAAACTAAGTAGCCTGTAAGAACGACCTCTGAATGAAGTACTCTCTAAAGAAAGTCAACTCTGAAATTAGCTTTAGGGTTTGTCTCACCAACAACAACATGTAAATGAGGAGAGTAAAGATTTGTAACAAGGCGACGATTCACATTGTGGTTTTTGAAATAACAACAAATCTATGTAAAAGCAGCAGAACTTTCTATACAGCGACCTGGCTTCCCGTTTTATCAGTCTTACCTCTTTTTTATGGTATTTTCTCATCATGTTGATTAAAGTAGCTCCTAAAAAAGTTTTGGAATGAGTGCCTTCTCTGTAATCACCCATTTTTATGCTCTGGATTTCACACCGTGTGAGTTGTATGGTGCTTTTATTGTGGTCCTTTATTGTCCTGTTAAATGTATGTATACAGTAAAAAAACATGTGTCTATGTGTGGGTGTAGAGTATGTGTATATTTATGGCTGTATTTGATTTTTTTAATTATGTTTCTGTTTTACTTGAAATGTAAATAAAGAGGATTGGACTGTAGCCGCTGCCAGAGACTGAAACTAAAAATAGCATTCTTTGTTTATTAATGCTGATGTCCCTGTCATATAAACGAACAAATGAAAATAAATGTTAGACCGATATATTTACAACTGGGCTCTAACATTTAGGCATTTCCACACATACACACACACACACACACACACACACACACACACACACACACACACACACACACACACACACACACACACACACACACACACACACACACACACACACACACACACACACACACACACACACACATACACACACACACACACACACACACACACACACACACACACACACACACACACACACACACACACACACACACACACACACACACACACACACACACACACACACACACAGACACTGGCAATAGCCCATATGCCCAGGTTTACAAGAGTGTTAACCAATGTGCCAGACTTCCCTACCTCCCATTGTCCAATTCCGTCTTTCCTTCCCCACTTCCCCAACACTAATCCTCCTCTTCTCTGTCACTGCCTCTTTTCTAACACATTATGCAAAGACCAGTGATTTTAACAGACCCCAAAAACACCTCCATCTTGGCTCGGCTGTGACTGAACAATGCGGCAAGACCTCAAGTCGTTTTTGCCAAACCGCTTCCAAAATGGCTGTGATCCCTAAAGCAGTTCATCAAAGGAAATCCAGCCCCGGTTTGAAAGAAGCGAGGTTAAACCGGGATCCGAACGCTTTTACAATGGGGATTTTTCACTTCCCCTTAAAGCAGATAGGTGTAAATATTTCATGTGGGCCTGGAGAGAAGACGTCAGATTTATTGCATTGTATTGTGGAGGTGATGCTATAGCTTTTGTGCGGTCTGTTTGTTAGCTTCTGTTGTGCGCTGGTCCATGTCGGGAATAGAAATGTAACAGGGTGCAGGCTAATCTGACTGGAGACTGGGTGACACACTATTGTGATGTGAGGGGAATAATGAAACCCACAAGTTTGTTCCCGGAGGCTGCTTTCTCTTATGGCTACGAACAAGAACTTAGACATGAGACATACCGTGTTTCTGCTTGCTGTAGTCATCACAACAAATGATAATAGCAAATAATTACCATACATTATTATAGTTTTGACATTGTTATGACTTTATCGTTGATCTAAAAGCACGAGTCAGAAAAAGTCTATATTCTGTATTGCTTTGCACCTGCACTTTTATCCGTAGACTGTGTATTATGAGTATTAGCCAATGACAAGCTAGCTGAATCCAATTTCTTTATATGGGCATTATTTCTGACGGCGTTAGCGTCACGGGGCAGATGTGTAGCTAAGACGGGTGCTAAGGCAAGCTGGTGTCTGTTTTAATTGTTTTCTTTATGCCTCATAACTAGTCTGCCTTTAGCCATCCATAAACTCTGCTCCATTATCATCTCCTACATGTGCGTTACTTTGCAGATGGCGACGCAACATAAAACCACGTCTGATGTGGTTAGCCGTGCTTCTAAGTGAATTAATTGCTTACCAGCTCAGACCATACGGCTTCAGTTCACCATGATTGATGCAGTGAGACAGTGTGATGTTTATTGTCTCAAATAAATAGGTTCATGTTTAAGCTTTTTCAGTTATTCTTTTAATGGAAGGGTAGCTCAGTTTCAAAGCATACAAATGTTATTTTACTCATTTCTTTCTTCAAAACATTTTAGTTTTAGGACTAATTTTCACATCCATCTATTTTTGGCCCCTGTCACATCTTTAGATCCATGACTAAGGTCCATAAATGTCCATAAATGTTAATAATGGGCCTTAAATGAGGCATCACGGTGGCTGAGTGGTTAGCGTTTGTGCTTCACAGCATAAAGGTTTTGGGTTTGATTCCTCCAGGCCTTTCTACTGTATGGGGAGTTTGCATGTTCTCCCCATGTCTGTGTAGGTGTCCTCTGGGTTCTCCGGTTTCTCCTACCACTAAAAACATGTGCAATAGGTTTGAATGAAGTGAGAGACAAAATGCCCAAAAAACAACAAATTACTGATTTACTTACAGGAAATAAATAGTTCGATTAAGTTGTGTTTTTGGGGCAGATTTGTACCAGACACAAGTTTAATTGAAATCTTAGCAAAAGTTTTCTTACTGTTTTCCCATTTTGTGCCTTCACCCTATTCCCAGCCTCACTTTTACTTCTTTTTTTTCAAAATGCAAAACAGAGATGTCTTCATTCTTCATTAACAATTCAGACAAAAACAGCCGCCCGATGATGTTACAGCCCGAAAGCTCCAATTTTATCCTATTGGCTCCAAAACCTAATTAAAGAATCATTGCTTGGGCTTTCTCCTTGTTATTGTGCAGCATATGAAATGAAACAAATGCATTTGTAGTGTAGTATTCAAACACACACAACACACAGCACACACACACACACACACACACACACACAACACACACACACACACACACACACACAACACACACACACACAACACACAACAGAGACCATATTTATGAATAATGCAATGTTTTGGGTTGAGGCAAAAAAAGGGGAAAAACTAGCGCTAGGATGAATTATTTAGGGTTAAACCGTCCCGACCTGGACTGGACCTGGATGCGCCGAGTCAGGTCTCCCCCCGGTTTGAACAAGTGCTGATAATGCAGAGAGGAGAGTGTGAGAGAGGGAGAGAGAGAGGCGGGGTGAGTCATTGCTTTTAACCTCCCCCACAGAACACCCCCGCTCCATTCATCCTTCCTCTCAGTCCCCTCTATCTCTCTCTCTCTCTCTCTCTCTCCTCCAGTGACCCCAACTCCTGCCTCTCTCGCTCTGTTCCAGGAAAAGCATTAGGACCAGAGAGAGAGAGCGCAGAGAGAGAGCCCCCCCCTCCTATCTCTGTCGGATAATTTAGCTAATGTATGAGGGAGAGGTTTCAGCATAGACGCATTATCAAATACACGCAGCCACGCATTCTCATTTCAGGTTAAACATTGAAAGAAAAAAGAAATGGGGTTATATAATGAGATGTAATCGGTTGTATGGTGATAATCTATGACTATAAAAACGATGTTACGGGCAAGGAAAGACAAGTTTATTTGTATAGCACAGTTCATACACAAGACAACTCAAAGTGCTGAACAAAAAAAACCAGACAAGGGATTAAAATCATAAATGATCACAGTACATTCAAAAGAGTAAATATTCGATCCTTCAGTTGTAGCACAGTTAAATAGATCTGTTTTTAACCTGGATTTAGGCATTGTCTGATGACAAGCCTGTCTCACATTTTCAGGAAGACAGATTTTAGTTGCATAAATACGAAACGCTGCCTCGCCATGTTTAGTTCAGACTCTGGGACCAGCAGGAGGCCAGTCCCTGTGATCCTTAGAGTCTACAGCAGGAGGCCAGTCCCTGTGCTCCTCAGAGTCCACAGCAGGAGACCAGTCCCTGTGCTTCTCAGAGTCCACACCAGGAGACCAGTCCCTGTGCTCCTCAGAGTCCACACCAGGAGACCAGTCCCTGTGCTCTTCAGAGTCCACAGCAGGTGACCAGTCCCTGTGCTCCTCAGAGTCTACAGCAGGAGACCAGTCCCTGTGCTCCTCAGAGTCTACAGCA